ATAATTTAAGTATTTTTATTTCGTTTGACATTAATATTTCGACTTAATCGCAACAAATTATCAGTACTGTTAGTGACATTATTTCAATTATGTATTTATATATTTGTCTTTCTATTCTAATGTAGGTACTAGCAAACGATCTAGGACTGATGATGGGGCAGACTGGATCGTTAGAGGTCCAGTTCCCAGTGGGCCCATGGATGGGAGTGTGATCCCTAGCTTTCTAGGGCACGTAGCCTCCCGAATGTGGAATGGACAGATGCGAGACTTACTGAAATGCCAGAACAGACATCGAGCTGTAGAAAATCTGAAAGCTTGGCGAGGTGAAATGTCTGCCGAGGCACTTGATCTGATTAGACAGACCGGGCTGTCACATCTGGTAGACTCCATGCACGCCCACTTGGACACTCCACTGATTACTGCATTTGTGGAGGCGATGGGAGCCTGATACTAACTCGTTTCACCTGCCTTTTGGTGAGATGAGCATTATGTTGTACAATGTCCGGGCCATTTTGGACATTCCTGTTGAGGGAGGTGTGGTCGTTGAGGACCCGGATTCAGAGGCATGCCAGACTTACTGCATGGAGATACTTTCGGTCACGAAGCCTGACCTAATTGCGTTCGTGTGGCAGCGTGGTTCGGTGGCCGAAGCCTCTGTTGGGGAGATATTTAGAGGTAAAAATAAGTTGGCTTCAGATGAGGCTGGTGCCTGGATTTGGGTGCTGCTGGCTACCACGTTGTTCGTAGACAAGAGTGGTAGTAGAGTGAGTCCGAAGCTCCTACAGTGTGACACGGGTCGTGTGACATCACACGACTCGTTTCACTTGGCACACGAGTCGTGTCAACCCACTCTTTGCGCGACATGTTTTTTTTTTATAAACAAGAATAAAATGAAAGCATATAATGAAAAAAACATAATCTTTTTAAAGTTCCCAACAACATAAAATCGAACATCGAATGGAAGAAAATATGTCATACATCAGGGGTTATTTTGAGCATCAAACCATAATTGCAACCTAGACTGGTACTGATTCTCCCAATTCTCCACCGAAGAAGTTCGATGTCTGAACCACATACTATGAATAGGCGGTAATGGACAATCCGGAGTCAAATCTAACCGAATGTAGTGTGCGTAGCTACCAAGATGACATATGCAAATCTCACGGCGTGGCCCTGTGCTCGTTGATGCTGCAGAAAGCGGCAATACTGTGCAGCTGAACTGGTTGGGAAAACGACCATCGCGACCAGAGCCTAAAAGAACAACAACCACATTAAATAGGATTGCAACAGGGTAGAGGTCGGTTGGAGTGTCCATCCAGTGATTTGTGCCACAAGCGCCCCCGTCCCACCTTATAAAATTAAAATATTAGCATTTGAATAATAATAATTATAATATAAAAGAAAAATAAATATAAAATATAAATATTAGCAAAATAATAATAATGAAAATAAAAAGCGCCCCCGTCCCACCTTATCCGAGCGAGTGCCGTGTCGATATCCCTGTAATAGATGTACTCGTACAAGGCACGATGGTTGTAAATCTCATTGGCAACGTTCTCTCGTACGAGTTGCCACATCTCCTGGTCCCCGTAAATGTAACTCGCGATGACCCGCCATCCGCAGTTCCCATCTGCTTTCACATTCAAGTAGCTCACTACGTAGTCCAACATATGCCAGGGAACACTGCTGCTGTACTTAAAGCTAAATATATCTGTCTCGATACCAGCTGGAACATCATAATAATTTCACGTCACAATAAAATAATATAATTTTGTAAATTAACATTTTAATTAACGTTCAACTTTATAAAAAATAAATGTCACCTTGGTGTGCCTCTTGTGACGGTTCAGAAGATTGGCTGGTTCTCGGTCCACACGAAGAAGTGCATCCACGCGAAGAATTGCTTGTACGACCTTGCGAATTATCCCTATCCTCCCATCGCGATGCTTCATGCTTAGTAGAATCAGTTTTTTTGGGACGACCTCGCGTATTTTCCTTAACCTCCGGTTCTCCATATGCTTGTTGGTCCGGGTAAAGTTGACCGTAAATGAGGTTATTGCAGTACCGCATCATCGCAGGATCGCTCGCTTCAACCTCTTTGGCAAGCGTCCGAAAAAACTCAACATCTGTCCAGACACCCTGATTATGCTGGCTCTGGTGATTTGTCCCTAAAAGTATACGATCCAAAAATTGAAACAATTAAACAGAGTAATATACTTTAATGTGTAATTTAAAATGAATCAGAAAGTAGAAAATTATAAATAAACATTAACCAGATTTTCAAAGAGTCACTAGTCACACGACTCGTGTGAACATGTGACACGAGTCGTGTGAGCTCACACGACCCGTGTCACTAGGCACACGAGTCGTGTGAAAACCCCGTGGCTTTTTATCCATTCTCCTCAGTGGGCACACGACTCGTGTGACCGGATGACACGAGTCGTGTGAGTGTCACACGACCCGTGTCACTGGGCACACGAGTCGTGTGAAAACCCCGTGGCTTTTTATCCATTCTCCTCAGTAGGCACACGACTCGTGTGACAATGTGACACGAGTCGTGTGTGTGTCACACGACCCGTGTCACTAGGCACACGAGTCGTGTGACCTGCCTGCACCTTGTTTTTTTTTTTCCAAAGTAATATACTTTAATGTGTAATTTAAAATGAATCAGAAAGTAGAGAATTATAAATAAACATTAACCACAAATTACCTGGTTCTAACATCTCTAGTGTCTTCCAGAACTCGTGGATCATGTCAATACCAATCGCCATTTTATAATCATGTGCTGTACGAAGCGTACATGCACAAGGAATTCCATGTGTGGTAGGCAATACACAGCCGCAGCGCAAGTAAACTTCATGGCTCAAGTCTCGCATCCTTGTTAGCTCATTGTTCAATAAATTCAGACAGTAATGCGAGACTCTCAATGTCAAGCACGCGAAAGTCAATCCCGTATATGCCGTACTCTTCCTAAGTCTCGAAGACTCAAGTGTTGTCCTGTTAATACATTACAAAACAAATTATAATATAATATACTTATATAATATAATATATTATACTTATATATAATATATTTGAGGAATGTACCTGATTTCAGTCAATTGAGACTCGATCTCCTTATCAATCTTATGCCACACTGTATCTAGCGCGCCAGTCGACGTGCGAAGCCACTGCTTCAACACAGAGTGGGCACTTTCCACCCTACAGGTAGTTGTGTTGCCAAAATGTGTTACTTGGTTCGTCCAGGCTTTCACAAATTTCTCCTTGTGGCCTAGCCACGTCTGCTCGAGATATTGTACCACTTTTGAATCACTCCCGTATTTTGCATTCAATTGAGCTACGGCGGCGTCGTACTCATCCGACGTACTGGCATCCATAATCGACTTCCACCGACCGCG